GGGGCCCGATTTTTGCCTGGTGTTTTTTTTTTTTTTTTTTTTTTTTTTTTTTTTAATTTGCTAATTTGCGTGATAATGCAGCTTTCATTTATATTTTCGCTGGATTTGGCATTTGCATGCTTTTTTGAGGCAGCTATTTGTGTCTAAATTTCAAGCTGATAGTTTCAGGTCATAGGAAAATTAAGAATCAAATCACCATGCAAAAGCTTTTAATACTGTTTTGAGTAGTTAATGCTTGAATTTCACGTAATAATCCATGAAAAATCGAAAAGTAATTGTACAGATCCAACCTGAAAATATTTTAATTCAGAAAAATTTTACAAAGGCTATGACAAGAATTATTTTGGAGGATAAAAAATGGTGATTTCTTTTCATATATAGTCATTTTAATTTTCTATTTCAAGATGGTCTTCTATAAATCGCAAGCTTACTGTTGAATCTTTGTGGCAGCAGATGCAGGATAACTAACTTCAAATATATATAAAATCACCTTTATGATTTGTTCGAATTTGTCTCTGTACTTTAAATTTTCTTCTCAACAATTTTAGTGTTTGGAAATTCTTAGAACATTATTGTTGGAGGACTATCATGGCTTCAATATGAACGTGGTCTAAGTTTAGCACATTCAACGTTGATGCCAAATTCATAATTCATTTTTGCGCATGGTTGTGGATCTCATTTATGATGAGGGGAAAACAATCAATTGAACTCCTAGCCTAGTCATCACATCTAGACATAGAACTCATCCTTCATGGGCCCTAGGTGCTCTCGCATAGGTTTTAGTGAAAGAGTTACTTAAGTCAAACCGTCCATCAGTTAGCTTCAAACGAATCTATATTTAATTGCTCTGGCTCATTTATCGTAATTAGTAGCTTAATAATAGATTTCTTTTGAAATGAGGGAGGTTAACCTATTTTATGCCCAATTTAGCACAGGTCAACTCATAGGCAACCTATAGAGTCACAAGACCTCACATATTAAATGTCTTTGAATACATCTTAGTAATTCTAAACCCTTCTCCAATCCCTCCCTTAGTCTATAAATCTTGGTACTTCCTTTTTTATTAAGTCAACCTTAAAATATTATATGGGAACCACCAAAATATAGCATCGCCTTGGTCATGATTTTTATTTCTAATGACTTTAATTTTTTTAAGAATCATTTGCAATCACTCTTGACTTCATATGAGACCTCTAAGCTATAAATTATCCTGATTAAACCAAGTGTCTGATCTTAGGCTCAATCTACCAAATCTCAATCCACATCAAGTCAATTCATTCTATTTTGTTTCAAATAAAACTGATGTTTTATAATGAAATTTGAAGAGACTAAAGCTCATCTAAGGGTTAGGTTAACTTCTTTGGACCAGAAGGCCCATTAAGCTCCATTTGAGCCAAATTTAATTTTTCCTTAAAGAAATGATCCATTTCAAGTGGTAGAAATTTCTCTTAAGAACACAAAAAGCATTCCCTTAAACCCTTAATCCAAAATTTAATTCAGAAGTAGAGAAATTTGGACATAACTCACATTGACCCATTCTGCTTCGTGGCATCCTTATTTCACGTACACTTGTGCACATATGCATTATTGCCTTGCAAGACATTTTGCATGTGTATGAGATGTATGCTTGTAGTTGTGTGTATTTAGATTTGTGTCCTCTTACACTTATCCCATAAATTCACACATCATGTGACTGACTGACTTGCACATCAAGCCTACCCGACATGCCCACTTTCAAGCCATTGCACCCTATGCAAACTTGATCCTGTTCCTAATTGTGGAACAAGAGTTATCCAACTGTATAATATCATAGATGTAAAAGTGAACATAACAAATGATAAATTTGATTCATTTAATTTTTCAAGGAAGCAAATCAGGTATTTTCTCTTCCATATCCCCATAAAATAAGAGACAAACTTGAGTGAGAAGAAGTCAAAGATGGTAAACCTACAACGCCTATTCATATTAAAAATTCAATACAACCCACTCATCAATAAATAAAAATGACAACTTCATACTTTCCACTTGATTTAATCGATGAGGAGATCAATTTAGTTGATGTTACTAGAAAACACGAAAAAATTCATATCGATGAGCATGATTCTGAAGATCATTTGGACAATATAATTTTAATAATATCCTCAAGTGACTCAATAGAGGAGTTTAAATAAGATGTGTCGGTTAATCCAACTAAGTAATTTCTTGTCTTTAGTTTTAATGGTGTACGCATATAATGCACTATACAGTTTTATTTTGTTATAATTTGTACATTTGTGTGTATAGGTTCAATAGTTTGTATATTGCACTTTATAGTGTTTCCTTTTGTTCACTGTGTACTCTTGTGTTTTCAGTTTTAGTAGTCCATAGTTTGCATACAATTTAATATTGTCCTTAATTTTTTTTTGCATATTATTGTATTTTCAGCTTTAGTAGTTTGGAGATGCACAAATTAATTATACTTCTCACTTGCAGATGACTTCTGGAGGAAGGGGCAGTCTTTCCCCTGTCGGGGGACCTGGTGCCTTGCGAAATTATGTTAGGAGACGAGATTGTTGACGTGGTGCAATGGAGGAGAGTCTTGAGGTCGGCGCGCACCAACAAGCCTCCACCTCGTGTCCTACCACGACACCACTACCACTACTCACCACGACACCACCACCGACACCAACCACGAATCCACCACAACCACCTATGGTGACCACGCTACCAGCAACACCATCACCATCAGTTGTTGTTGGTGTGCCTTCTAGTTTGAGCAGTAGAGCAGTTGTCATCAACCCCAGACAGTGGGGAGCACGTAAGTTTTTATTTAATATTGACATTACTGTCTTATTTTATAAATTTAATAGAGAAAAAATCTTATGCTATTTTTTTTTTATTTACTCCCATGTCACAGAGCATTCATTCCATCAGAGAAATAATTCCAAGCAAGTAAGATCACCCGTACTTATCCTAGTGGGGGGATCCCGATGGTTGTTTGGGATATATGGTTTGGGGAGTTTAAGGTAAACCCTGAAAATAGTAATTTTAGTTATGTTTTTATTTTTATAAATCTAACAATTTCTAATTAAATTTAAAAAAATAGTGGTCCTGGCTCTCAGAGGACTAGGCACACATTCAACAGTAAGAAGAGAGGCAGGGTCTACTGGTCAGGGTCCCGGGCGCCAGCCTATGATGCTTGTCTGACCTCTAGCACATATGGTGCATCTACTTCCACTGCAAAGGAGGAGGAGATGTGTCACTAGGTTACTGCTGAGGTAATTGTCCAGGTCTCCACCCACCTGACCACCCTGAGATTAAAAAATGGAGCAGAAGACGAAAATAGATATCGAAGCGGTGTTGCGTTTTGAACTACATAAAGAGAAGCAACCAATTTAGGATGAGAATGAGGAGGAGGATGAGGAGAGGATAGAGGAGGATGAGTAGGGGTTATCTTTTATGTTTGCTTGTAAGTTAAACAATTTATTGGTTGCTAATATTATTTTTATTGGACAGTTGTTCATTGTGTTTGGTTTAATGCAATTGTTTTTTTTTTCTGTATATGGCTTACGAGTTATTTATTTTAATATTGTGTTATGATGTGTGTTGATTGCATTGTTACCATTGTAGGCGTATAAATTGCAGTAATGAGGGAAGGATTTAATTTCTTTTATTTTTATGCTACAGGTTTTTGACGGCTTACCGATGATTTTAGGACTCTTTGATTATGTGTCGACGGATTACCAACGGCCTATCGAATAAGCGAAGTCTGAATAAAGTGTTGCACTTTTGCTACTGATCAAAACCGTCCATAATTTTCCACGACTAACCAACCGTTGTGCTACACTTTGCTGACAGAACCACAACACTTTTTTGACGTAGAGGCAAAACTTTTCCTACGGATATTAATGTTGGTTATATAATTGACGGTCAACTTATGGTTAAACATAACATGTTATTGGATCACTGATGACGGTTTGGTATGTCAGATAAGTGTCGATTAAAACTATGGATAAACCGTCAGTTACTTTAATTACTGACAAACGTTTTTGTTACGTCAACGTAACTATATCTAAACCATCACTAAACATATTACCTACGGTTTACTAATTTTATTTGACTGTCGCTAATAGGCTAAATTTTTGTATTGTATGCAGTCTGACGTCGCCAATAACTACAGCTAAATTATAATATTCAACTTTTTAATTCCATCTTTAGTAAGTCTTTAAAAGAGTAGACCTGTATAGGGCTGTCAAAACGGCTCGTTGTTCGCAAACAGCTCATGCTCGGCTCATTTTGGCTCGAAATACTACTCATCAAGTATATATATATATATATATATA